CTCCATTCTCCAACCTTTAAAGGCCCATAGAAGGCAACCTGTATTATGCATGCATGCTTTTGTGGAGTCGCCGGACACTGCCATGCGGGAGCCAAAATACATGTATATACATATATAAACATTATAGTATATAGATTTATATATGTATATATATATATATATTTATTTATTCATTTATACTCTATTTATATCTATATTTGTATTTGTACACATATGTAGAAAATTACACACATCTAATATCATTGCACATGCCACCAAGGCACCTGTCCCCGATGACTTGGCCCGAAGCTCAGGGCCAGGACAGCAGATGCTGGGGTTCAACTTGTACCGGGCAGGGGAGGTTTCGGTGGAGTCGGGGACCAAAAAGACAGTCAGGGGCTGTGAAGAAGTCTGGGTTACTTTCGGTAGACCAAGTCGCTTCGGATTGAGGTTCATTTGCGTCTCAGGATTATGAGCTGGGGGTTGGGGGTTGATCAGACTCAGGGTTTAGGGGTTACATGGCTTCGCTGCTTTAAAGACAGGGGTCAACGGGTCCACAAGTTAGCATCTAGGTTTAGGGATGTCGCAGGGTCAGGGTTCCAATGACAATGGGACGCCACGGTTGGGCTGAAAAGCGTCACTCTTCGTATGGTTGTTGTTTTTCCGCTGCCTCATTGCATTTCTGCCGTTAGTCCTGCCAGAACTTCTGCGGACAGCGTTGCCATTTTAGCTCATGTCATTAAGATATCAAGGTTGTTGCCGCCGTTGCTGCTGCTGCTGCTGCTGCTGCTGCTGCTGCTCGTGCTGTTGCTGTCTACCATCAAACGTTTACAATGCTGTGCCAAGCTGCACCAGGACACCTACATCCCCTGCTTGCACTCAGCCGGCCTGGGTGCGGCCCCGGTGCTCCATGATGAAAGCCGATTCTACCAGAGGGTCTCTGAGAAGCCTCTGGGCTCAACGCGACGGAACGTTTGCTTGAGAACTTAGTATTTGGAGTTTTTCGGGCTTAGGCTGTCAGGGATCCAACATGGTTTACGGCTTTGGGCCGGAAGCTGAAGATGCTTTGCCTGCGACTTTTGGTCTTATCTGTGTTGGTTCATAGTTTCGTGGCTATTGCATTTGAGGATCAAGCTCTTGTGGCTGTTGATGTTGCCGTTGCAACCCTGGGCCCGGAACATAGTACACTGCGAGTTGCGAGAGTCGAAACCTTACACAGCCTAATTACCCTTGATGCCTTAAGCCGTAAGCCTTCATTGACATTTGCAAACGCAGGTGGAAGTTCCAAAAGTCTCAGCGGTACTGAATCAGCATTCCGTGTATGGAACTCATATTTCCAAAACATACTGTGAACCCTAATAATTCAAGTCTCCATACAAAGGCAGCCTGCCCCCTACATCCCTGTAGTTCTGACCTCCATGGTGCAATTCTTCAGGAGAATGTGGGGCTTCTCTTTTCTGATGCGTGGTGTCTGACTTCTTCCAGTCAACTTCTTGTCTGGTATCGCGCAGGGTCTTGTACTCTCTGCTTATAGTTTCCATTCCCTTCAACCTACCCTAAATCGCTGGACCCTAAGTTTGCGCATTTTGTCGTAGTGCCCTGCCGCCGTCTTCGCAAACCCTAGCGGTGTAACTAGGGTTTAGGGTCTACTGTTGGGCATCTGCGAGGGGTGGAGGGGTCGAGTTAATCCCTGAAGCCTCAACCAACAACCAAAAACTTCAACCCAAACCAGCACTTCCTACACCCTAAACTCCGACAAAACGCATTATCCAGGCTTGAATTTCGCATGGGCAAAGGAAGCATCGGCGCGGAGGCTCGCGTCTTGAAGTTCGTGTTTCTATATATCCTAAACCCCAAACCCCTAAACCCATCGAAGATTTAGCTTTGCGGTTGTGGTTGTGGGTTGAGATGGGTCAGCCTTTCGGCTTTTGGCTGAGGGTTTGCAGCTTACCGACTCTACGAACCGATGGCAGAAGAACTTCCGTGAAGCAGGGAATGCTCTTTAGCACCCTCTAAAAGTAATCCTAAACCCGAAACCGAACCCAAGACCCTGAACCTCCAGGTCAAGAAGCTCCCATGCCCCAACGCTGATCAGGTTCTTCATAGTGCCACCTTCCCAAAGCTCGTGGAGGAGACGTCGAACGATGTCAGCTTAGGCTTTAGGGTCTCCAGGGTTTTGCTGAGGCATCTTGGGGAGAAGTGTCAACTTCGTTGTAATCTACATCCCCCTTCGCCCCATGGCAGGCTGCTCCAATCTTGCAGGCCTCGGCATCAAACACTGTTGAGAGTGTAAGATATAGGGTACATAGGAGAGAGAGTGTATATATATATATGTGTGTGTGTGTGTACACACACATCCAGATAAAGTTCTGTATAACCCTATATACCATTAACCCTATATACCATTAATAATAAAATATACAACTGTACTATACGACAACATAATATGTTATAACGTAATATAATGTAATAAAATGCAACAGTATGCAACATAATGTATTGTAAGATAATATATTATACAACACTGCATACTATACTATGTATAATATACCATAACATTATATAATATTATATAATATCCTCTAAGATAAAATATGTTATCATATACTACAGTATAGCCTAGTACAAGATAACACACTATAACTATTACAATAAACCTTCAACTTCGAGACGTGAGTGTTTCGACGAGTTTGATCCAAGGCTCAAGGGATCATCGCAGCAATTCCGGCTTCCAGAGCTGCAAGCCATTGTCATGATGTACTATTAACGTATTTCGCATACTATACTATATACAATGACTTATTTTCATGCCGTATGGATGCTGCTGTGTCTTGCCTATATTTTGCTTATTTCATGGTGAACATCACCACCTGGAGATGCAGCCTTTTGGACATCATCTTCTTGCATGTTACTAAGCCGTACTATACCACACTCCACTTTCCTGTAGTATACTCTGTGATACTCTACTCTACTCAGACTCTATTCCACTGTACCCCACTATTCTCTACAAGACTCTGCAATCTATGCTGTGCTGTACGTAGACTAGTTATTAGACTAGACTGGACCAGAGCAGGCTGAAGTAGACTACATCAGCCCAGGTACTAAAGCCTTGCCGCCTAAAGTACCGGAATTCCTTCACCGGAAATCTTGAAGTCCAGACCCCTCTAGTGGTTGGGGCTCAGGGCTTAGGAGACCGCGTAATGCCAGGGCTTTTGGAATACTTAGGGTTGTGATACAGCCTTCCACAGACAAACGACGCTCTTTGAGGAGTTGCGGTTTTCACTGCAGAGCCGTGGCACCAAGTGAGGGCACTTCCCAACTGCTGGACTTTCACAATACATGGTTGAAGGCGTTGGCGTCTCAGAACCCGATACTCCAAACTAAGTGTGTATGTTTTCCTCAACAGTTCACAAGCTCAGCCGAATATCTTTGAACTCTACAGCGGTGTTTCAGATTCCATGAAACTCATAGCCGTCGGGTTCTGGGACGAAGGAGAGGATCCCAAACGTGACCCGAAGGGTTTTGACGGGAAGACACCGGGCTCCGAGCCTGGCAAATTCCTTCAGGAGCCTTTGTACAGTGTGCAGCTACTTAGTGACGCTCCTGGTAGGATGGCCGTGGATCGCTTCACATTACGCCTGATGTGCAAGGAAGTCCTCAAGATAGCTCCTGGAACGTGCTTAAGTGTGTAGGCTTTAGACCGCCCCTTGGACAGTGGAGCCCCCTTCACACAGTATTCTGTTGTTAGACGCTCGGGTAAACGAAGCCTGTTTGGCTCGTACCTTGCAGCACAGCGCGAAGGCTTTTTTGGTTTCGACTTGGAGCTCTTTTTCCTGAGGCCATGGATCTGTAGGAGCCTGCTGACGGTTTCTTGCCAGGTGCAACAGACACCGGTAGCCGAGACAGACCCTGTTTGCTCCTCAGGTTTGGCAGTTGCGTCACCTTCAGCACCCGGACTGTAGAGCGTGAAACGCCCAAATAAGGCCATCAAGTCATAAGATGGCATGTGAACATGCAGCTTGTTGGGCGCTTCCGCTATCAAAGGGGGTTGGGCATTCAGGACAGTTTCGAGATTGCTGTTTGGGCAGGAAAAAATGTTGACACCACGGTAAAGAACAATAATGCGCTCACCTTTGGATAAGTATGCAGGCCGGAGGCTTTCAAGAAGTTTGGTCTGGGCGATTCGAAGAAGTATCCTCAGAAATAATGTGTATCAGCTATGTACTTCCTGGACTAGCTGCCGTGTAGACCCTTCGCGAGCTGACCCTGGGGGAGCCAAAAAGTTGTACTGTTCCTGAATCCGCAACGAATCATGCTGAGGTTACCAGACCATGCCTTTCTCACTCATCGCCACATCATCATAGGCATGCCTCCAAATAGGTCTATAGGGGATCCAAAGCCATGAACCGGGTCAGATGCACTGCCATCGGAGACTCAGTTCCACGATAGCTCGCTTGCTAATAGCATGAACCGCTGACCCTTAAAATGGAATGCTAGTAGTAACAACAGTTGTCATAGTGACAAGAGGAGTGTCAGTACGAGCAATACAGCAATAATCCGGGAAGAGCCTTCGCAAGTTTGCGGCCGAGAACTGAAGGTCGATCGGACCACCTTCAACCAGATCTTCAGCCAGTCTGATCCTCTTCTCAGCCTCATCTTGTGGGTTTGTGTCAGAGACAGCTCCCCTTTTTTGGGGCATGCGCAGTTGTAGGAAGCATCGTCTCAGCTTGATCAGCTTTTCCGCAACAGGCTTCAGGCGTTTGCAAGGCATGTTGCTTACAGCTTAATGGCTTTGTGGCACTCCCCAAAACGATAAGTAAGCCCCAGACATCCCCAGTCTGGGGAAACGGCAAAGAGGTCGACGGTCTACTGGTCTCAAACTTTGTGGCGCAACCTTGATCGACTAATGTTGAGGTACTTATCACTTATCGTGCCTTTATACAGTTTATGCCCGCTTGAATCACTGAAGCTGCGACACCGACATCGTACCTTCTCCGCTTGTCAAGAGCCCTGCGGCCCAGGCTGACAGAAACCGGGGAGCTTGCTGTGGAAAGGTTAGCAGAGGGGCGCGAAGCTCGGCGTCCCCTTCAGGGTTTATGCCTTCAGTGCTTAGACGTTGTTTGTTTAGGGGCGCTGTTTTAAGGGGCGTTTAGTTTCAAGGTAGCGGATTGTTTTTTATTTTGTTTTACCGGCAAGGAAGTTTTGAGTCTTACTTACTTAAGTCTTTAAAGTGTCAGGCTTCGGCAATTTGCGGAGTCTTGAATCTGATTACACTATCAGAAGTTTATCAGCGTTCTGTTTCGCACCTCACAAGCAGCAGAGGGTTCAGCGACTCGGGCATCGGAAACGCAAAGAGGCTGATGTCTTCAAGGTTTAGGGTTTAGGGCAGCAAAGAAAGTCCGGACGTATTGCGGCAGTGACGTCAGCAAGCCCTGCACTCCCAAGCGACAAGGCACTGGAGCCGTAGAGCCACCTAGCCTTTCAAGCCCAAAGCCACCAAACACCAAACCCACACACACACACAAAGAAAAAAAAGTACAACCCTAAACCCGAAACCCAGAGGATCCTTAGCCATGCGAGAGGGAAAAAACCCGACTCGGAATGGTGCTGCGGGGAAGGATCATGCATTCTCCTTTCATTCTTTACTGCACTGTCAAAGTTCAACTGTGCTCATGACTTCCCCTGCAATGCGGGCTCGTCCTTGCAAGGTTGGAGGCAACAAAAACCCGACTCCAGGGCCTTGAATAATTCCCAAGAGTATTCCTCAGGGTTCTTCGGTTTATTGTTTTTATTCTGATACTACACTGTACCCCCAAAACCCCACCCTAGTTTGTATAGTTCAGACCCCTATATTAAAACTTTGAAGCAAGTAACAACACCCTACAAAGGGGCCTTTCGTTTATCCTTTAAAGAATCAGAAGCTCTATTGTAACTCTACATGCAGACCCCTAAACCCTAAACCCTAAAACCCTAAACCCTAAACCCTAAAACCCCAAACCCTAAACCCTATATGATGGCCCCCCGAAAGCCCCATGGAACTCGACGAAGAAACGGGGCCACCAGGCTCGAGATGCTCGAGGGCCGGGGATCCCACTCAAAAATGTTTAGGGTTGAGGGGTTCAGGGTTTAGGGTTTTAGGGTTTAGGGTTAAGAAATCGATGCTTTAAGGGTGGGTTATGTCTTGTTTAGGGTGTGGGGCCTCGTTCCGTTTTTGTTCTTTTCGAGTGTCTGTTTCCCTTGCGGACATCTGGCGCGCATGCTGTTGGGGTTCTGGGGATGAGTGGGTTTTTGGCAAGTCCGAGTCATCCAGGGTCTGGAGTCTGGGCATCCCAGCTCACCCAGCTCTCATCGTTGCTTCTGTTCGTGCTTATTCAACTATCGTTCAACACACCCGAGGACGGTGCTGTAGTCTAATCGCCTCGACTGCAGATGAAAAAACCCCGTTTGTGCCTCAAAGTCTAGCTTCTCAAGCTCGAGTTTTGGCAGAAGTTGACAATCACAGCTTTGTAAGCAGGGCAGTTGCAAGAACATAAAGTTGTGTGTTCTTAGTTGACAAGCGCAGGGTCTTAGCTTTGGTCTCCTCAGCCCTGGCCTACTGGGCCTGTGTCAGAATCGAACCGGGTTTTCGGCTGGCCTGGCCTAGCGTGCGCGCCCCTGAAGCCCCCCAGCTACGAATTAAGGTCTAAACTCCAGCCGTAGGGCCTTATACCGTATTATACCGACATCTCAGCCTTTGGCATCGAGTCGATTGTCACTGTTCGCTTTAAGGATGCTGCGGGCAAGCGCACTTCAGGCTTCCATCATACTGGCGGCAGTAAGCATTTCTTATCATTATGTTGACGACGGTATTGCTTGTCATGTCTGCTTGCATAATTGAACAATCATTCTTGGTACCACACTTGATCATGGCTGTGCCGACATTCCTTTTCTCTGGCAGTGTTATCTTGACCGGAACCCGCACCCGGTTGAGGATCTTGGGTCGAGCCTTTCTGTTTTCTGGTTAACTGTGTTTCAGGTGCTTGTAATCTTCTGCATTGGGTTTATAAACGTGCTTGAAGAGAGCTTTCGGCATGATGGGTGATAGTGTTGACTGTGGGTTCAGTGAATCTTGCCCATCTCGCTTGGTAGTTTCGCTTGAACGGACCTGTTGCTGGAATCCGCGCCTGCTTTGTGCGAGTGCCCTATAAACCCTAAATCCTAAACCCGACATCCTAGTCCTAATCGGTTGTCTCAGGTGTCGGCTGTGACAAGGAGCGAGGTCCTAAGTCATCTCCGGCGTTGGGCCATGTCGTAGCAATCCGATGCCAGGAAGCTTTCCATATCTGGGCATGCCCAAAGCCCTAAATTAAACCGAAAAGGGTGTAGGGTCTGTCAGTGCAGGTGGGAGTCTAGAGACTTGGGGTTCCGAGGTTAAGAGGTTTCTGTTTAAGGAACATGGGTCAGGGAAGCTTGAAGGGCGTCTTCCACATTGGTTGCGGTGAGCCGGTCCTTCGAAATTCCTGCCTCTTCGCGGCCACGAAGTGTAAGCCCTTCTTCTAGCAGCCGTAGTAGCCGGGAGCAATCCAATCGTCTGAGTAGCCAGAACAAGGAAGAATCCGGAAATCCTTAATTAAAGTGCCCAGGTGGATCCATGAAATTCTCCGAGACCAGTTCAATGGGAGGTGCTTTTCCCTGGAGCTTTCGCGAGGGAAAGGGCGACCTCGGATCCTTGCAATCCCTTGGGTGCGCATTTGCAAGCCTTTGTGAAAGCAAGATGGCGGCTGACGGGCCTGGGAGCCTTGCCTTCGGCTCGCTCGTGGTTCTGGAACCCTCACAAGTTCTAAGCATAACTCCTATACGGCTTTGGCGTCTTCACCCCCCGATGGCAATGTGCATCCACCAAGATGCAATCTCGTCACTGACTCCGCTTGTAAATCCTGAACCCAGCCCATACCCCCCAAACCCTAAACTCTGTTAATGTTTCACTCACCAGACCTCGAACCGAGTGTCCGAGTGTGTGTGGCGAAACCCATAACCCCCTAAGTCCCTAAACTCTTATATAGCCCTAAGCCCATAACGCTTCTTTTCCCAAGAGTTCATGTCTGCCCGCAGCACTTGGGAGGTCATTCCTGGACCGCTCTGACTTCTACGACTTTGTGAACATGCACCTGGCCTTGAGAAGTGGGCGAACTTTCAACCAGAGCCCCTACTCCTAGGAATAGCTAACAGCCATAAATAAGAGGGGGTCGGAAGGTCTACCATTCGTATTCTTCTTGGTTCCTAAATCTATTTCCACTATGATATACCCGATACCCAATTCTAGATATTAAGGCCCCCATGATTAATCAAGTTGGTAGAGAATTAGTGCGTGGTCCTTGCTATCATTGGTAGCTGCATTCCTTGCCATGTAGGGGCTGAGCGGCTGAGATCTCATCCCCTGACCCGCGCACAGCCAGCCCATCCTGTATGCAAGCCCTTTAACCTGGGACCTGATATGGCCAAGGGAGATATGCGTGAGTAGAGTGATGAGAAACTCTGCCCGACCGTTTCTTTACGCCCTAGAGGCACGGCTGTAACTGGCTGTATCAAGCCCACAAACGGAAAGCTCACCGAGGTACCGCAACCAACGGTTCACATTCATGCGGAAGATCTTCAGCGAGGCCCTGCAGCTTCAGTGGTCTGGGGGCTACGACTTTGGGCTCCGCGGCCTTTCTTTTTGTTCGGAGTGGGGTTCCGGGCACGGGGGTATACCTTTGGGTAGACAGTCGTGAGGCTGTGACGTGGGAGGCCGTGCTCATACCCATACCTTCGTCCGGTAAAACCCTAATCCTTCAACCTTAAACCAAGCCGGAAACCCCAAGCCTAGGACGAGGCTGGAAACTTCTGTGCCAAGAGATCTCCATAGTCACGTCGCCGTCAGAGAGGACGGAGAGCCTTTGCCCGCCTGAATCCCCACAAGCTTAGTTTTTTAAGGGTCATACCAGGACCCTCCTCGTACACTCAAACAGGGGTACACGGTCCCGAGTAGCAGGTGTAAAGGGTCCATTAGAGGGTACTGTAGATGGAGGGTCTAGGTATAGAGTAAGTCATAGGCACCCTAATCACTTCCACCATTTATTAGACGCCCTCCCAATAATCAAAGCACTTTGGGGCCGGCTCTCCCGAAATCATGCAGGCCCTTTTTAACTCCTAATTTGCATTAGGGGGTCCGGAGCAAGAGCAGGAGTAAGAGCAAAAGGAAGCGCAGGAGTCAGAGCAAGAGATTCAGCAGGAACAAGAGCAAGATCCCTCGAAAGCGACAATAGGCATAAAACATGTCCCTTAATAATAAAAACACGTTCAGATTTTTTTCATTGCGGGGGAGAAGGCCCCCCCCGGTTTAATATTAGGAGGAAGAGATTACAACCATAGTTTTTTGGGGTGGCCTACTAGCGAGCTTTTCCCGAGCGATCGAAAGGACCTCCTTGCTCAAATCTTGGCTTGGATGGGAGCAGGCCCCAAAGTAACAAAAACCCCACACCCCCGTGGCTTGTTGAAGGCCCGAAGCTCGGAACACCGACAACAACCAAGCAATGCCCATGCCAACCCGGTGTTCCCAAATCCCAAGCTAGTTCACCTTCTGTCGCTAGAAACCCTAGAAGTCTTCCAACACCGAAACCTCCAGTCTCTCGTCCCACCAACCACAGCATAGTGGAATCTCAACGCCCGACGTGTCAATCGCAACAATCCTAAGGCTTAACCAACTAGTTTACTTAATCTTAAATCCCAATCTCCCCCCCCCCCCTTGCACTATGTGCTGCTACTCTACCTACAGATGGGTTGCATCTGATCCTTAAGCCCAAAGCCCCAGGGCCCAAACCGTGACTCCTGCTAGGTGGATCAAGATCACTCTCAAAGCGTGTCCCTCCAGGAAGTCGCCCTCGCCTCAGCCAGGCTAAGGCTGTCGCTTCTTGAAAAGGATCCGATCCTTACGCAGTGTTTCTTCTAAGGAGAAGTTGGGTTCTTTTGTGAAACTCCCTATCACTGTCTCTTATAGAAGATGAGGTGGCGAAGAGCGATGAGGTTTCGGCTTTAATGTGCCGCCCCTAAACTCTTGCGTAGATCTCAAGCACACACACACACACACCTACCTCTTTCAGCCCTAGTCCAAATACCGCTTAAGCCTCCATCCCTGAGACGTATACCCTATCTGAACCTTCTGGGCCAACATCCCCAAGCCAAATTCACGTTCTGGATCCTCTCAGGAGAACCTCGACTTCGGGTTGAGTGGGATTCATGAGGCAACCATAAACCAGAAAGGGGAGAAGTGCAGCTTGTACGAAGACTGCTTGCTTTCATGGCAGTTTCTTGTTCTAGCTATCCCTTTAACAGAAGCATCAGTCGGAATAAGCGCTCTGCTGTTGAGATGTTGACCAAAACGGAATGCCCGAAGGTTAAACCCAGGGCTGCAAACAGTAGTGGCGAGGGGGGGTCTCGCATTGACTGTTTTCGGGAGCCGTTCATAATTCGCATGCACACTCACTCAATTGCCTTAATGGTGATTATATACCTGATGCTTGCTACATTCATGCTTTTGTCCAGGGTCCAATTCCGTTAGCAATCCCCTAGCTGTTAAAATCTTCGATGTGCGGAACGCGCTGCGGTTTGCAGCACGGAAGTCTTGTCTGGATACGTTCATCTTCTAGGGGGAAGCAGGCTCGGAGAGGTACGGAGGCTTTGTGTCGTATGGGACTTTCTTATTCCTAGAGCTTAGCATTATGTATCCGACCCGAGAATTCACAGAAACCTGTGGACACTGAAGGTGCAGCTACTGGGGCGCAGGGGCATCACGCAGGAAGCCCGGACCGTTTCAGTCACTGAGGAAGACGGAGGATCAGGCCAGAGCTGCTAGCGTAGCTAGAGGATTATACCCTTAGCCCCTTTTCTGGGGGTACCTAGTGTTTTCCAGGCTGGGATCTGCTGTCTAGGAAAGTAGGTACACGGTAGAAAGGGATACGGTGCGACTCTATGGGTAGTCTGGTAAGAGTCCAGCAGAACTCACACATCTTTTCCAGACTCTTCGGAAAGTCAAGAGGGCCGTAGCAGCCACACTTTGCTGGATGCTTTCGCCCTCACCACCAGATGAATATGCAGCAGTGGGAGTCGTCTAGGAGCAGTGCAAACTTCCCTACGGATGCGGTGCTCTTCCACGCTTGTTTCTTCCTTTGCTTGCCCTTATAAACCCTAAACCTCTAAAGCCCACGGTTCTTCAGTGATTCAAACGAAGTTCGCTGAGCTTCGGAGCCCAGGGCGTGCGCTGAAAGCCGAGGCCCGTCCTGAGCTGTGTGGAGCGGATCTTCCGGGAAGTCACAGGCGCCACGCCAACCATCCTCCGTGGAGCATCTTCAGGACTAGGCGGTTGAGGTTTCGGGTTTCAGTGTAGTCATGAGAGCTGAACCTCCGTGTGCTCAGAGCTTCAGGCGATTGCTCAAGTCCTGATGCAAAAACAGGTTTAGGGTTTAGAGGAGCATGTTTAGGGCAACGGGATTTGGTGTGTGTGTTTTTGGTGCGTCTTAGGTTTCGCAATTCTACGGTTCGTGACTTCGTCATTCGTGAGTGCTGGGCTGGGTTGCCAGGATATGTGAGACCAAAAAACGCTGCAACATATGCACGATGTTGCTAATGACATGGTTTACGTACACATTTGCATGCATATGCGGAAATGCATATGCATAGACACACAAATCGATAGATAGGAAGATTGATTGACTGACTGACTGACTGATTGACTGATTGATTGAAGATAGCTAGCAGCGAGAAGATAGATAGATAGGTATGTAGGTAGGTGGATACACTGTAGGTAGGTAGAGGTAAGTAAAGAAGTGTATAGGTACATATACACGCACGCATGCGCTCGCACTTGTACGTGCGTATACACATAAAAATACATGCATGCTGATGCATGCCTATGCTTGTACATACATGCATGCGCAGGTACCTGTATATATATATACACATACTTATACGTATATGCATGCATGCATGCATGCATACAGGCACATGCAAGTAGATAAACGGTCTTTTAAAAGGCTTGCAGATACGCCTACACTGGGCCTACACAAGCCCAACTCCGCATGTAGACATAGGCATGGATGCGATATACTTTTACATACATCTACAACGCATGCATGCATGCATACATGACGAAATACAGCACCCTTCTGGAGACCGGGAAACATTTATTATAAGACCCTCATAATTAGAACCCTTCTGTTTTGGGAGCCCGATGGTCTGCTTTTGATGCCGCTGCCGCCGAGGCGAGAGTGGGCTGCGAGATTTGACGTTCGAGGAGTCCACATCCCAGAGGAGGGCAATGTGGAGGGAACTAGCGTGCTTTGGGGCTTGGTGCCTTTGGGGGCTGCGTGGAGAGTTTTAGGGCTTAGGGCGCTTCAGGGCTCATAGGCCTTCGAATAAGAGTCGGTGAGTCTTGGTGATTCCTAGTGAATCATGTCCCGCTGCAGGGTGTGGAGTGTGGCCGTGTGCAGAAGGCTGCACCCAGGCATCATGATCGTCATGTGTCGAAGTTTAACGAATGGGGGTCTCAAGGCATTTTTAAGTTTGCCCCGGGTGTATAGGCTAACTACCCAGGCTCCCCGCCGGGCGTGGCATGCATCGGCAGCTTACCCCTTGGGGATATTTGCCTTAGCCCACGACCCTCGACGTTTCGGATGTAGTTCAGGTTGGCGTTCTTTACATGTCGCCAGCTCACCCAACCAGACTGTTGTTTCCTTTTCGTCGGGGTGCTGCTTGGCTTGGCAGCAGTTTGGCACGGAGCTAGTGCGACTATCGTCGCTACACACAGCGTTTGGGAGATACTTGGACTGTCAAGGTCCTCTCGAGCCGCGGCTTTTCTCGGGACCGCATCGACGAGATCTCAAGGTTTGCTGACAGATGCTGCCGGAACAATCCAACCGATTGGTACGACGAGAAAGCCCTGTGCATCGCCGCCTACTCGGAGCACGGGGAGGTCGACAGTCGCTATTTTGTGGTTGTGGGTGCCTATACCGATGCAGCGAACATCGGCTCAATCATGTCAGAGATGCCCGACAACATCCACCTCACTGTGGGGGGATCTTCAAGACAAAGAATCTCAACCTGTCGAGGAGGATCTCGGACAACCGGTGGCATATCCTGCTGCTCACAGCAGCAACAACGAAACGAGGGTTGTGTCACGGAGCAGTCACTGCTTCAAGGCAAACAGGCCAGCCCCAGCATGAGCACACCCAAACTCCCCAAACTCGAATGTGGCCAAGACTAAACTGCATAGCATACCTCAGGTTTGTGAAGATCTACGATGTGGTTCAAGCCCGAGCTGGCTTCTCCGAGTATGACCTTGTGAGGCCGGGTTCGAAGCATGGGCCTTGCAGGCCAAGACCTACATTCCCAAAGCCCGGCTGTGCCTAGGTCTCTAGTCCCGAATTGCCTGCCGGTGCATTCGTGACGCTGTTGTGTGGTTGCTCTGACAACGTCAGCCAAGTGAAGCTATACACGCTTTTTGCTCCGCTGCATAGAGACGGCGACATGCGTAAGCTCGTTCAGATGATGTTGCAGGACTGTAGTGTAGGGTGCAATCTGAGAAGAGGGTAAAGGTGCAGAAAGGTGCACTCCGACCCATTGAAGTCCCAGAACCGCATCCTTGACCAATACTTCCCGGCTATAGCGCAGCCTCTCGGAATGCCTGGGTCGAGATCGGGTCCTGGCACAGGCTGAAGAAAGTCTGGAGCCGATATGACCGCGATGGCAACCAGCTCCTCTCCGCCGGCAGCCAAGGGGCATTTAGGGTCACGCTGAGGTTGTAGGATGTGTGATCGATTTCAGGCTTTAGAGCTCTTGAGTTAAAGGACTTTGGGACGTTATTGCCATGCTCGTCTACGAGCCTCACACTAACTTCATTGAGACCGGAAGGCCCCGGGCGATCTGTTTCGATTTACCTCCAACCCATTCCTTCAGGTTCCGGTTGGCGTAGTTGAATTAATTATATTGCAGAGACACAGGTCCCGTCATAGTTATGTACGAAGACTCACCTGAACCTGTAGCACCTTGAACGACACACGCAAACTGTAACCCAAAGCCCTGCCCTAGCGTAGCCATGGTCGTCAGCCGCGGGATGTCTTGCACGAGTTCGGAGAACAGGTAATCTTCCCCCTTGATAGTAATCCTCTGCATTTCTAGTCTATCTAGGGCTTAGAATATAGGCTTCAGGGATGAGGGTTAGGGTGTAGGGTTGTAGGATTTCGGGGTAATCGCAAGCCACATAGAACTTCGGCACATAGAGGCACCAGTAGCATGCAGTATTTGCAACTGGCAGTCGCAGCACTTTCGTCCTTGTCCGCGGCAAGTAGCCCGTCCCGAGCTTTCCAAAGCCACTTGTGAATGCTGAAGCTCGCCGGTTCCGCAACAGCTTGCTTCCAACGTCGCAGCCCTGAATAGGGGCTAGGCGCCCAAGCCCTGGACAAGCAAGCGTAGACAATCCAACATGGTAAAGGCAAAGAATTATACTCTTGTATGCTTCGAAAACCATTGAAAAAATGAATTCTTGGCTCAGCACCCGCAAATCCTGTTGCAACCGTTTCGCCCCAGGAGGCCCGAAAGAGTCCCGCCGATGCCTTCACCACCCGTAATCCCGAAGACCACAGCCTAAACCCGAACACTTGAGCCAAAAGCCCCGATCATACTCGCAATGGCCCGGCACCGTGTCGAGCATAGCTTCAGCTCATGGCAGCAGAGATCAAGCAAGGGCACCCCCGTCGGGTTTGAAGATTCATTCAGGGTATCATTCAGGATCTAAGGATCTGGAGACTGGGGGGTTGGCCGATATCCTGACCCAACCAACATAGCATGGTTGTCTACGACATTCCGGCTGAGTAGACATGCATCATCAAAGCAAGCAGCGCTCTCAGTCCCATGACTCGCACCATGTTCAGTATCAACCTGTCCTTCGACCTATTTGGTTTCTTTAATCTCATTACATGTCCCACGTTGCGGGATTTGTGGTTGGGTGCTAGTACTTGGTATGCACAGCTTGACTCCCAGAAACTAAGGGCTGTCGATTGAGGATCTAGTTCACGATGAGTGCCTCCTTCAGTTCCTGTCGACCCTGATTTTTTGGCTGCCAGGTCTTGACTTGTGTCTGTGGGACCTGTATATATATATAATACACACGCATATATAGATATAGATATATGATATGTATATGTTTCTATATATGCATGCATGTATGCATGCATGCATGCATGCATGTATGTATGTATGTATGTATGTAGGTATGCAATTATATCATATACTTATACATATACATATACATTTACATTTACATCTACATTTACATTTACACATACATACACGCACACATACACATACAAATACACACACATATACATACACACATATACACATATACATACATACATACATACATACATACATACATATACATACACATACACGTACACGTATGCATATATACATATACATACGTTTACATGTATGTATATATATATACACACACACACGCAGCCACGCGCGCACACACACACACGCACACACACACACGTGTGTATATGCATATAAGATTACATGTATATTCACACGTGCATGTGTATATATGTAAATATACATAGAGACAGATGTACATATGCATACACAGTATGTATGTGTATGGCTTAACGTTTCTTGTTGTTCATGATGGTCATGGCAGAACTTGGTTTGCCATAAAGTTGGAGTCTGAACCGAAGCCCCTATTTTTTGGGCCAACTACTAGTAGTACTATGACAACTATGACTGTGACTCGCTTGCTATTGCGATTGTTGGGCGTTAGGTTCCTCGGCTCTTGGAAGTTAGGGTTGTACTGAAGAGTTAGAAAAACGTGTGTTATAAGTGTTTCAACAGGGTACTCTAAAGGGTTACCCTAAAGACCAAGGCTGAGCGAGTAGTAGTGTCTACTTGCTGCTTCAAGTGGAAGCCTGTGGGAATCTCGGTTTCATGGTCAGTGCACACTGCTAGCTGCCCAGCCAATGTGCTTCATCGAACTTGTAGCCAGGCTTGTCCCAGTTGTGAGTGCTGAAAGACCAAAGTTGCAAACCTTCAGAGCGTACAGCATTGCAGACTCAGACGGTCGTGAAAGTAGTTGTCCAGTGGACAGGAAGCCTTTGGTTGAGTTCCGGTCACTGACGAGCGCAGCAGCCTGGCATCATATGGGAATAGGAAGAGACTTTCACCTAGGCCTAGACCACAAATGGATACAAATGGTGGTTTCCTGCTTATGAGGAGCCTCAGGTACGGCACGCCTCGCTTCGAGATTGTTCTTTAGGAAGGCTTTCCCCGGAGCAGAGTGTGGTCTGCGGTAAGTAGTGTTGCAAGCGCAGATCGACGGCCTTAGCCCCCGGACGAGATGAGGTTTAAGACACCCTAAACCTTGAAAAGACGCTTCGGCCGGGAACCCTCACTCCTAAAACCCCGAAGCCAACCCCAAACCCGTAACCCCTAAAAGGCAGGGCGCTGGACCATCCATTTGTCCGTAGCATTCCGAAGCCCCCGTAAGGCCGTGACAAACGCGCCGAGGCGCTTCGCCCCAGAGGTTTTCTGCAAGCACAACGGGAGGGTCGATCCCCTGCAAAAAAGCCGAATAAAACTTCATACCAACCCTAGGAACCCTGAGATACGACCTTGAAGACGAATTATCGGGTTTAGGAAGCCCATCAGTCTAAGGCGTTTCGAGTCCACCCAAAGCCAGGGGGGTTGGGGTTGGGAAGCCACGGTAAACCCTGAAGCCTACTGCCCCACTGCTCACGGCTGCCCTAGCTCCACCTTCCAACGGAACCCAGGCCGCAGCTCTCGGTTCGTAAACTTATGAAAACCCTAAACCCTAAACCCCAACTCGGAGAGCGTAAACCCCAAACCCTAAACCATCTTGCGAACAGTAATCGGACCCGCCCTGGTTTCGAAGCTAAGCCCTATTCTGGTTACCATAATCGGTATATAACAAGTAATAAGGTTTCCTGATTCTAGCAACTCAATTTAAGTTCCTTAAACAGTAACTCAGACGAAGCCCTATTCTATACCAGCTCGCTGTATGAATTGCAGCTTTCCCCTCCTGTCGTCCGGCTGCGGCCCGAGAGACTTCGCAGTGTAAACTAAAGTCCCTGGTTCTGAGTAGGGAATGGGGGGGGGATGGATCCCTATGCTAGTCCCTGAATTACGGTCCCTTATACAGTCGCCCCTACAACCCGTTCCCCCATTCCCCACTAGGAACCATGCAAGGAGTAACCCCCCCCTCCCCGCAACCCTGAATAGCACAGTTTGCACGGACATTTCCGCGAGGTCTTGCCGGATGTTTTTGCGGGCCATGACGAGGTCGCTTGTCACGCCGGGGTTTTTAATTGGGCTAACCAGGGCTTATTACGGTATGATAAGCTTCAATGGGTTTGAATAGGGTTTAGGGGTTGTGGTTGGGGTTTAGGGACTTATAACTAGGGTGTCCACTGCCATGATCCGGACATCATTGGCTTCTGTAGAAGATTTTGCTCGAATTGAGTTCAGGGGTTAGCTGGAGCAGGTTTCTGATTCAAAGATACATTAGCTCATACTTCCTGAATTCTCCGGATTTCAGAGGTGAGATTTCTGGGAGGATCTTCTATGCAGAAGAAGGGATAGGATGCTTTGGTCGTTTTGAGGGTTTCCGTTTGGGGTTGGGGGGTTGCTTTTTGTTTTGGGTGTTTTCGGCTTTGGATCTATATCTGGGCGGGTCTTTGCCAAGCCTCTGCTCACCCCGAAGCCGCGAAAATGCTTCAGAATAAGGTGTGCACAATGTATGTATGTATGTATGTATGTATGTATGTATGTATGTATGTACGTACGTACGTACGTACGTACGTACGTACGTACGTACGTATGTATATATATAT